GCCACTCCACCTTCTTCCACCCTCTTTGCCTAGTTCTCCACCACCTCCAACCCTCAAACACTCCTCCACACTTACCCTAAACCCTTCCATACCATTCCCCATCCATTCTACATCATAAAACTACCCAAAATCTGTTCATAACCCAATCTGCCGCAAGCAAGGGAAAGGAGGAATCTTGGATGCACTTGCTACCAATGGTATACCCTTCCCACCTGCTACTATAGACATAACTACAAATAACTCATTAGAGATAAAACTCATCCTCCTAAACGTAGCAGTCTTGCACTGATCATCCTGAATGAGCTATATAATAATTTTCAGTGCTTCACAAACCACTTAACAATAACTTGTTATTACCCATTAAACTTTTAAACTAGTGATGTTCTAGACAAAGTCGGGTTACCATTATTGGTGGCTAATTTTCAGTAAAGGTTTTAGCCCATTCCACTAGATGTACTAACTACCAAAGCTCTTGAAAGTGCTTTTGTTAACGGATCCGCCAAGTTATTACTTGATTTAACATAAACAATATTAATAACTCCATCAGTTATTAATTGCTTGACATATTCATGTCTCAAGCTAATATGTCTAGATTTTCCATTGTATACCTTATTGTATGCTCTAGACAAAGTAGCCTCACTATCACAGTATAAAGAAATGGATGGCATTGGTGTGGCCACAACTCTATTTCCAATACAATTTCTAATTCATTCCGCTTCTTTACCTGCTGCTGCTAATGCTATAAATTTAGATTCCATAGTTGAATGTGCTATACATGTTTGCTTCTTCGAAGCCCAAGAAATTGCTCCTCCAATTGTAAAAATCCACCATATTGCCTATTGGTCTTATGGCAATTCCTCACTTGTTTTTCTGTGTCTACAATCACGAATGTATGGCCTTTCTTTCACAATGGTACATACACCATTTGCCTTTTGATTGTTGTTGGAATTGTTTCTTAACTTCCCTTTGTCAATTTTGACTTTGAAGTTCTTTTTATATTTGTTTCCTTCCTTTATTTTATTTGCAAAATTCTTATCACGATTTCGAGTTCCTCTTCAATTTGAATATCCTTTTGCAAATTCTCCAACTAATATTCCCCATGTGTAAAAGTTTCTTCTATAGTTATTCATGTGGGGTAATTTTGCATAATAGCCCCAACATCATAGGATCCGGAATAACTATTTAAGGGTCATGAGCTTTGAGACAAGACCAATAATTCATGAACTTGGTCTAGGTGGGTTTGTTATCAAACATGTGAATTCATAATATTGAACATTAAAAATTTATCGGTACCTCTTTTTTCCGTTTGTACTTGTGTTCAAGTGCTTCCCAAATTTCCTTTGGAGATTGTATGTGTGCATACAGGTCATATAAACGATCAGATAATGTGCCCATGATGTGTCCTCGACATACCAGTTCATCTTCTTCATTTTAATTTTCTGTCCTATTTGATTTTAATGTCTAATTTTATTGTATCTTTGCTTTGTGAGTATGAGGAACTAAACCCCTCTTAGTTAGGGGGGTGATTCGAAACTATGTTCATACTTTGCAAATATGATTTGATTACATTCCAGTTGTGATTCATAAGTTGTTTGAATTCAATTTACTTATCCGTTCATATAAAAAACTAATTTGTGTATGTTGGTTAAGAGTGCACGCTTAATTTTCATGCATGAATTTTGACGCTAGAATATAAGGGAGGTTTCACCTAATCGTTTTATAAACTTATATTCACAAGTAGTGAAGGTTGCTAGTCACAATCACGTTAAGTAAACTCTTGGCATAAGTTTCATGCAAATCATAAGTAACGAGTGCCTCTCGTCAATGCTTATGTTTTTCATAGAAACTTAATGATTCTTGCTTGTATCTCTATTATGCAATTCATGTAGGGAACTGTAGGGAATGTTTTGGGTTGTCGTATGCAATCATCCAACCTAAAACTTGTGAAAAAAAAACTGAGGGTTAATTAGTGCAATTCACGGTTAATTTGGGGCGTTGAGTATTCATAGTTATCGAAAAGCAACTGGAAATCGTTTTGTATGCAAGTGTGACATATGTGGAGAAGAAACCTCCTAGCTAGCCTTCCATCCATAAGTTTCATTCAAATTCATTTTACAATCTGTTTTTGATTCACTTAAATTTGTCTAAGAATTTGTTTACTTTGTTCTTGTCTTAATTTAATTATTTTCGTCCAAAATCAACCCCATCTTATTTCTTTGAGTCATATTAATTTAGAACTTGTCTTAGATTATGTTTTTAAGTGTTTTAGTTCATTAGAAAACCAAAATTCGTCCAAGTTTGTGTTAGAGTCCAAAACTGCCCAGATTTGTGTTTTAAGGTAGTTTTGAGTGTTTAGGGGCTGTTTTGAGTCTTTTGGTTTGTTTTAGTGTTTTAAAGTATAGTTTGCATTCTTTGAGTCTAGTTAGTGTTTTAAACTTTGTTTTTACGTTTTCAAGTCAGTTTCCAAGTGATTTAGCAATCCCTCTTAATCCCCGGCCTAGAACGATCCCTACTTACATACTTTACTACAATTGATGAAAAGAGGGTTTAATTTGTGTGCTTATATATTTCGCATCAGGAATGCATGACCATTTCCACCTACATCCTTTCTGTTGAAAAGAAAATAGTAGTAAGGGCATACCATCTGAATAACGCACTCCGTACTGAATGATATGGTATTTATGGTTCACAGATAACTGCAGATCACTTGATGACCTTTTGTGCTGGGCTTGTTATAGAGCGGACACCTATTTCCTGCTCATAAGCAAACTAAATGTTGAAAACCTTTTTGATCAAGGACATTGCATGCATCCAATGTACCTGAGACTACTGCTTTGCATTGAAGCTGTTGACTGTATTGGCTGTCCACACTCCTTCCAGACAATGCTTTTAATAAAACATATACACAAGTAAGAAGAAAGAGTTGGAATCCTGGAAGAAGAGTTTTGCATTGATGCCATAATCCTTCCCCTTCATGGTTCATAGCAGCTTGAAATGCAGGCAAGCAAAGATTTTTTTAATGGAGATGTAATTTCGGGGACTGGTGTGGTCGATTGATGTTTCATCTTTCCCATAAAGGTATATGTATTGAGTCCTCGACCTCCAAAGTGTCAGAGTTTATTGTGGCAGTGGCGGAAAGCATTGCTGAAATTTCTATGAATGTTGGTTTAGGGTTTAGGGCGTCACCCGTAAGTGGCGCGCTGTGTGGCCCGAGCACAGTGATAAGTGAGCAAAGGTCGCTGTATCTCCATAGGCACCCGGATACAGTGTTAAATGAGCAAGGGGGCCATAGAAACTTCTTTTTCGAACGACTCCACTCAAAGTTGTTTGGGCGCATATGCACCTATCAACTTTACACGGGACACACAAAAGAAGTACTTTGATTCCTCGACATACCAGTTCATCTTCTTACGCTTTCTTTCAATCGGCAAAATATTTGTCCGATCTTGTCACTTGTTTTCACAAAATAGTCAATTGGGTGCACACAATTGACATTTTAAACAGTGGCATGAAACGCATGTGTCCTTCCATCGGCTAAATTTGCCATTCAAATTTTGTCTAACTTGTAGACATTTATTATAATCTTCAAAGCCATGTTATCAATTTATTATTCCTGATGAAAATAACCTTTAAGATTGTAGAGTAAATGTTAGAATTTAGAATAATCGAATAAGATTTGAGGTACGCACTTAATCCCAAAGTGAATTTGCCCCCATCAAAGTTTGCGCTCTTGGAATCACTTCAGGTTAAAACAAGTATGGGATTCGATTAGCTAAAAGGAATTGTATTCCCTTAGTATAACTAGAAAGAAAATTTATGAATGTTGAAGAGAGTAGAGAGAAATGAATGTAGAAAAATCCTGGTTGTGTATGAAAATTATGCCAAAAACCATAGGCGTATGGCACCATTCAATCGAAGTCCTTTCATTTTAATTAGATATACAAACTCTTTCTTAAAAAGAGACAAAAGCAACCTCTTATTTAGGATTTCGTAATAAATACACTAAATAGATTTTCTTTTATATACAAGGAGTAAGATCATATCTTTTAACTAAATAGTTTGTAACCATTCAACTAATACATTCTGCGTACTGCAGCACCCTTACATTTATTGCACTGCAACTCCTCCAAATAAACACGCACAATGCAGAAAATATTAAAATGTATGAAACAAATAATATAATAATTAATTATATTTTATAATGAAATCTAATAATCCGCATACAAAAGAGGTCCACTTCTGTTAGAAAGTGTGTTGGTAGTGCGTTAATTTTCTCTGTCCAAATAGGTATACTGTTGGAGCAAATATGGTTGGATACGAATGTGAATGCCTTCTTCTGGAACTGGATTCATACTAGTTCCCACTTGTATTTTGTGACAAAGTGATGGAGGGAACACAAAAGTTGGAGTCTAGCATATTCTTTTCCCGGACAAATTCGAGGACCGCTGCCAAATGGGATGTTAGAGTAAGCCGGAGGAGTTTTTCCGTTCTCAAACCTAGTCGGATCAAACTCTTCCGGATCAGGAAAGTATTCGGGGATTTTGTTCGTGCTGCTTGCCGACCAATACACCTAATAACTTTAACCTTATCAATTAAGAAACACAAACTAATAAATTAAACAACTGGACTGTAATTATATAATTAACCTGATTAAGTACTATATTAATTACCTTCCACCCTTTTGGAATCGTTTAACCTTCATAGGTGAAGTCAGTTGTAACCTCCTCCCTAAATGTTCATTGGAGAGGTGGTACCAGCCTCATAAGTTCAAGTGCCACACCCCATGAATATTTCATCTTCTGTTTGTCTTCCCAGTTCAGTGCCCGCCCGATTTTTTTGAGCTTGCGATCTCCAATTGTCCTATAACAACAAAATAAAAATTTCATCATGTAAATATATACCAATTTCCAATTTAAAGAAGATCTCTATCAATTTTTAATTAAGGGATGGTTTAGTTGTTGTCCCTAGTCTTTAAGGGTGTGTTTGTTTGACCTCATTAAATGGGATTGGACTGGACTGGATTACTTCCTAGTGTAGTCCCATGTTTGGTCCGTGCTGGGACTAAGTTAAATGAGATTAAAGGGGATTCGCGTGGACTATCGGCCTCGCTAGAAGTTCTTGGCGAGACCCTCCCCCAACCATGGGACTCGCTAAGACCTTCTTTGCTTTGCTCTTTCCGCTTGGCGCTTGGTCCCTTCCGCTTCGCCCCTCCCATCTACTTCTTCTTCCCTACTCTTATCTACTTTTTCCCCACAGCTTGCATACAGACAAAGAGAGAGAAAGAGAAGAAGGAGAAGAAGAAGAGCCGCATAAAGAGGGCAAAGGGGAAAAGGTTTTGTTATGGGCTACTGGGTGAGAAGAAGATGGAGGTCTGATTCTCCAATTTTCCTGTTTTTTATTTTATTTATGGGATTAATATGTTTGGATTCTGAGAAATCGTTCAACCCTTGTCGCTAAGGTTCTAATCCTCTGTTTGTTTACACCCATTTGAAATTGCAGAATCTAGGGCAAGCAAGGACAGCGGTCATCAATGGATCTAAAGTCGAACTGGGTGACCTCGAAGATAACTTCATGGGTATGTTTAATTTTTGTTTTGGTGAAATGGGTATGTTTTGAATAGTTGTTTTCATGTTTGATTACTGTTTTTTCAGTGTTTTATGCATTTTGGTTGTCAGATTTTTGGTAGTTGATGAATCCAATGTTGGGAAATCGAAAGTGAACTGTGTTCGCCAAATTCTCCAAGAATTGCTTAAATTTAGCTTTGTATCTCGATTTTTCGATTGTGTTCTACCACAAAGATTGTCAATTTTGTGTGTAATTTTTTGTCTGTTTTGTCTGTAATTTTAGTTTTCTTGAGTCAGTAGTGGCTAAGTGGTACGAGCGGGTGGTAGGTGATTAGCGCCGTTGAAATTGTTTATGTACTTTGCAATGGCATTAGTCTGGTGTACTGAGCTGCAAATTTTGATTAGAAATGTAGTATGAAAGACAGAATTGTGTGTATCAGCATGCTCGTCTATTTCCTATCAAGTGTTCTTCCTAATGTTATTACTTTGTGAAATGATCAAATGAGGATTACTTCTTAGTCTGAGCAAACACCAAATTGGTGAACAGTACTGTTTTCATTATCCTGCTTCTTAGTCCGACATTGCACCAAACGCTTCACTAAGCTAGTCCAGCTTAGTCTAGTCTAAGCCAGTCCAGCTTAGTCCCTATAGCTAATCCAGTCCAAGACAGTCCGGTGCAACAAACGCACCCTAATTGTTATAAACTCAAACCTTATGCATTTTAGGTTTTAGATTGAAGTCCCTCTCCACATAAATAGCATAATAATAAAAGAGATGTAATAATATCAATAAAGACTCAAACTGTTATTATACTTTCATTTACACACCACCAATTTAATTATTGAAATTTGCTTATGAGTTTCATTTTCAACAACAACAAAAATTGCTTATGGGTGCATTCTAGATTTATTTTATTTTATTTTATAATATGAGTACATTTATATAATAAAATTTGGGTACATTTTACATATAAAAAATTGGTACATTTATATAAAAATGTATATACATTTCACATACAAATTGTCACATCCCGGCCCGGGCTCCACCACATTCCGGGCTCAACTCCCCCGTAGCACGATATTGTCCGCTTTGGGCCTCGACCATGCCCTCACGGTTTTATTTCTGGGAACTCACACGAGCAGAATTTTCCAGTGGGTCACCTATCATGGGATTGCTCTCGCGCGAACTCGCTTAACTTCGGAGTTCCAATGGAACCCGAAGCCAGTGAGCTTCTAAAAGGCCTCGTGCTAGGTAGAGATGAGAATATACATATAAAGCTTACATTATCCACTCTCTTAAGCGATGTGGGATGTTACACACAACACAACAATTGGTACATTTTATACAAAAAAAGAGAGGTTGTTTTTTTATATAAATTAAATGGGTACATTTTATATAAAAAAAACAAGAGGTATATTTTATATATAAAAAAACAATGGGTACATTTTAGATTAAAAAAAAATAGATTGTGCATTAAAAAATGGGTACATTTTACATAAAAGGAATGGTACTTACACAAAACAAAAAAAAAATTGGTACATTTTGCATGTAACAAAGTGGTACATTTTTAAATAAAAATGGATACGTTAAAAATAAATTATGGGTACAAATAAAAGGTTAAAATAAAAGGTTAAAAAATTATGAGTACAAATAAAAGTTTAAAAATATGGGCACAAAAAGAAATTATTAAATGGGTACAAATTAAAACTGAAAAGAAAATTGGTACAATTTAAAAAAGGGGTTGCAAATTAAAAATGGGTACAAACTAGAAATAGAAATATATGATACAAAGTTTAGCCATAACTATAAATATACCAAATGTAACATTTCTAACACTAAATGAATATATTCAGAAATACAATTGAATTGAAAAGAAAACAAAATTTAATTATCTTGACATGTAAATATTTATTTATTATTGAAATAATTAATGACCTTATTAAAACGTAAGGACCTTGATTAAAAATTAAAAATGAATAAGGCCTTAATCAATGAAGTCGAAAAAATAAGGATGAGAACCTAATTTCTTCTTTAATTAATTACCTGTACAGACTTTGTCACATATTTCATTCAGGCCTTTATGCGAGAGATACTTGACGAGCAAACTTGTAGCCATTGAAGGTGAGTGAAATCCACCCGCCATCAAACCCGTTACTTTATCAGCAACTTCATTCTCCGGCATGAACCTTCCAGTCGGGTCCGGGTTAAATAGTATGAAAGACAAGGTGTCGTGCATTTGGACTCCTCTGGAAGCAGCCGCTTTCTTCTCCTTAATCAACAACAAAAACCTCCTTCCTCATTGCGTTCGCCGCCTCCAGCATCTATCTTCTAAAAAAAAAAAGAGTTATATATGAACACAATGGAGGCTCTCTTCCTTTCTCTACAACATACAGTCCCATGTTATTATTATTACTCAATGCTCTTGCTCTCATCATTTATGCATTCAAGTTTAAACCTTCCAAAACTAAACCTCCACCGGGTAGTTTAGGATGGCCGATTATAAGCGAAACA